AGCGAGTTGGCATTAGAAGTAGAGGGTTAGTATGTAGCTATGAGTAGTATCCAGAGTAGATCCTCATGAGTATTGAAGAGTGTATATGCATCATAAGAGGAMGGGATTGAGGCTGAGAGTGTTCATTCAAGGTTGGCTATGGAAGATACTTACCTGAGTTGGATGTGATCTGCAGAGGTGGCATTGATGAGTGGTGACCACATTGATGACTTGGAGACTATCTGCAGGGGTTGCACTGATTCACTGGAAGGCATATTGATGAGTTGGCAAGATATTGGTGCTGCGCTGATGAGCGCTGGACTCAGGGAAACTTTGAAACACTTTGTATTCATATTTTTGATAATATAAGCTGTGAAACTCGGTTCTCATCTTCTCTACCTTTGTCTATTATCAGACTACTGTTCGTTGTGTGTGGGAGTACGATGCTTGGCATGTACACACTTGTGTGAGATGGTCTCCAGGACCCATGCATATATATATATATATCGTCAAATAGAACTGCTCGGTAAACCGTATGCAGAGAGGGAGAAGAGGACAACAAACGAGGGGCTGTGACAAACTGTTTCGTCGGAGTTTCACCGACTATATATATATATTGACGATCTATATATAAGAAGTGTTCTTTCTAATTCAATAATAGCAATTTCATTTCGTAATCCGTATAGATATGGCTGAGAGTCTATATTGATCAATGGATGGCATCATTGTGCAGGGGTCATCATCATCTCTGTATTGTTCCAATTTTAACAGATGCCCCAGAAGGACCAATCAGCTCTGTTCTCTCCTTTCACTTCTTTGGAGTTTTTTTAACTTTTTTTCTTTCATTGAATTTGCATGTCAGCATGATCCTATTTCCAGTCAGCTTCCTCATTATAGGCTTTTTTTTTTTTTTAAAACCTTTTTACTAGGAAGTTTTTTATGCCCGGCCATGCACCCGGGCCTGATGCCCGGGGAACCCGGGCGTGCAAAAAAAAAAAAAAAAAAAAACATTTTTTTTTTTTTTTTAATCTTTCTGCGCTTTCCCAGAGGACCCCAAATCCGGGCTCGTTTCATTTTTTGAGAGTTGGCTGTCAAGGGGGGGAAAGGGGGGTATAAATTGTTTTTAAAGGGGCTAAGAGGGGTTAAAGGGGGGTCCTTTAGTGTGAGTTTGTTATTTTATTTTTTCTCTCTGATTCGGTGAGGAATTCTGATGTGACCCTCAGCCAAAAGTCGTTTGTATTGCAATTCTACACAACATATTTCTTTTCTGAATTTTTTTGACTTTCTCTTTTTTTTTTTCTTCTTTTTTCTTTTTGCGCTGGGGCTGCCCGGAACCTTGCCCGGGGATCATGCCCGGCCGGGCACCCGGGCGGGTATCCGGGCACAAGTTGGGTGCCCGGAAAAACAACCTAACCTTTTTATGCTTTTTTTCTTTTTTGCATGAATCGCATGATACTATTTGCAATCAACTTCTTCATTGTTTTTTTTTTTTTTTTTTTTTTAATAATTTGGAGTCGTGATTCAGTCTGGATTCAAACTCGTGAGAACCTTTTTACTTACAGTTACATCTGTGTACCATTCAGGTATATATAAAGTTATAAACTATTATGAAGAACATATGTTTTGCTGGCGTGTGATAGGATGTGAACCTGCTGTCTGTAGAGTTTTGCATGTGGTGTGGGTGAGTGATTGTCTGCTTCGATGATCGTCACAGGTGCCTTGAGGGCAGTGGTTGGTGCCCACCTCAGGGTATCAGTTGTCGGGCAGAAATTGTCATTGACTGCTTAACTGCAACTGGGGTTAAGGTGGATTGTCACTTTTCGTATCATCGGTTAGGAGACTCGGCAGACGAGAGAGAGTTCAGCCTCCTGATGAGTCGGTGAAACTGACAAACAGTCTGTCACATCCCCTCATTGGTTGTCCTCTTCTCCCTCTCCGCAACTGACAAACAGTCTGTCACAGCCCCTGTCCTCTTCTCCCTCTCCGCCTACGGTTAACTGGGAAGCTCCGTTTGTCGACATGATCTATTTATAAGAATTCATGATACAGTCGTGGTGGGGATGATACAATCATGATGGGAATGCGTACTGTGTGGGGGGGGAAAGAGGGTTGTAATTGGGTAAACGGATCAAATGACCCCTTGAAATGACCCCTTGAAATGACCCCTTGAAATGACCCCTTGACCCTACAAAACCCAGGCTGACGCAGGCATGCTAATCCGCGGCCAAGTGCCATCCTACGCTGGTTTGCTGGTGTGCTTGTGTTCTTGTCCTTTCAATTACCTACCATCGATTAAACATGTTCACTATTTCACAAGAAGCACTGACAAAAGTTTTCTGCCAGAAGTATGTCAATCACAGGGCATCGCCACACCACTCTCGAAATGTGCAAAATGAGAATGCACTTCCCACTAGAACATGGCCAGATGCAACCGCCACATTTTTGTCTTTTGCACATTTCAAGAGTGGTGTGGCGAGGCCCACAGTCGAAAGTGACGAATAGCATAACACAAAGCTTTCCAAACAATGTAACGGTTCTTAATTGTGATATACACAAATGTGTGGGTGGTGCTTGTTATTTTCTTTCCAGGAGGTACCTTTGTAAGTTTGTAGTAATAAGTAAATAACCTGTTCAAAAAAGAAAAGAAAAAAAAAAAAGGTTGTAGTAACACCCTGCTCATGTCGCGGAAGGGCACACACATGTAACTGTTAGCAAACAGAACATGAGTTCGAATCCTGATTGGTCGGAATCAGACGAACAACACCATAAAGGTAGGCGCTGCCCCTCTTCACGTTGAAACAAAAAAAAGAAAGAGAAGAACGTAGTAGCAACGAAATACGAAAAGAAGAAAAGAGCAACCGAAACCTACGGAAGGCTAGCGTTCCTTCATTTATTTGACAGGACTTAAAAACCCCCGATGACAGGTAAGTAGAACCTATGGGTTGGGGGTGTACTTCATCGGTCTGCGAAAGCTTACAGTGTGGGAATGCCTGCGACATGACCATCTTTCATCCGTTCTGCAAATCTGTGTCCTGCCAATGTGCAGCAGCTCAACACGTTCCCACCCGTCTCTTATGTAAGGTGCAGCCTCCCGCACCTTCGTCTTTCTCCTCCTTTCCAATAATGTCCTAGCAGGACTTGATCCCCCGACCAGTCCATCGTCGAGACAGCAAGCCAATTCATCTTTCAACGCTGAATTCTTTTGTACCTCCGGGCTCTCTACTGCAAACCTCCCAAACGTCGAGCTCTTTGCTGCCAACGTCCCAACCTTCGAGCTCTCGCCTGCCAACCTCCCTATCCCCTGCAACTCTGTTCCAAATGAGGAGGTGTTCGCACTTCGGCCTGAGCTTGAACGATCGGGATCAAGATGGCTGGAGGGACGGAACCGTTGGGATTTCGGAGATTGCACCAACCCTGGAGGAGACATGATGGAAGCTGACTGTGGTTTGACCCTCTCTCCTATTTCAGGATGCACCGCGGTTGCAGCCACCACCACCCTCTTATGAGCGGGAGCATCTCGGATGATGCTAGAAAAAGAAGTTGAGTTTCGCGACTGCCTTATCGTGCGCTCTTGACCATACAGTTCGTCATCTAATGCAGAGTCGTTGGAAGTTGTGCGTTTCTGAGCCGGCGTTCCCTTACGACTGTCCTCTCCAAGCCGACGAGTGCTCGCTTGACTTTTCGCCTTGCTAGAACTGCTGCGGAAATGAAAAACAGATTCGATTAACCGTCCTCCTTCAACTCCTCCATCTCTTCCACCCCCTCTAACACCCCCTCTAACACCTCCTTGAACAGCTTCTTCACCACCTGGACATTCTGCAGCGCCTTCTGCACCTTCTGCATCTTCTGGTCCACATTCTGAATCTCCTGGATCTCCTGCTGCACTTTCTGAACCATCTGGAACACCTTCCAAACCTCCTGGTGCAGCTTCCAAACCTTTTGGATTTCCCTCTGCAGTTTCCAGACGTGCAAGACGCTGTCCTTCAAGGTCTCGCGAGCGCGAGTTCACAGCTGGAGGAACCCCTCCATCTGTGGAACCAGGCCCGTGGTCTCTTTTGCACAGCTTTTTCATGGGCATAACAAAACTGTCGTGCCCTGTTTCCACATCTGCTCTAGCATCGTTGTTGTATGACTCCGCCATGTTCTCGTATTGCCTCTTCTCTCCCAGTTCCTCAGCCGAAGGGCGTTTTGAACGGTCAGCGCCTTCATAACGAAAGCCCTCCTGTGTCTCAAACCAACCTGCCAGCATTTCCAGCTCATCTGCCTCACTTGTCTTCAAGTTGGCAGTGCACTCTTCTGCTAAGGAATTCGCTGCATCGTTGATGTTCGCTCGCTCGTCTCTGCTTTCCTCCTCCTTCCGCTCCTTTCCGTAGCTGCCCTTCCAGTCGACGTTGGCCCAAGCTGAGGCTTTGCCTTTGTCACCTTGGTCTGTAGAACTCTCTCTCCCTGAATTGCCCTCCTCCTCCCTTCTCTTCTCCTTATTGCCTTCTGTGTCCATGCCTGCCTCCTCACTGCTGGTATCATCAGCGCTGGAGTCGAACCCACCGTACCCCCATGTTAGCCACGAATGCCCGCAGATGCCGTCATCCTGCTTAAGTGTTGACAACAACAAAATCCATCCATTGGCACAATGATGTCGAGAGTCAATGAAAGTAGATATAGATATCACATCTAAAACTTGGATTCGCCGTTTCATTTCCCAATTTCCCAATTTCGCTATTTTCTGACGATCACCCGGTCCAGACAGTGATTATGAGAACACAGCCAGTCATTGCTCCTGACCTTGAAGTCTGGCCAGGTGCAGAAAAAGAACCATCAGAGGGCTTTCCAGTACACATTACGTTTACCACTGAAAGAATGCGTTTGTTCCATTCCCTTCATCCCTTCATTGTGTGAAGAGCTTCAGAGCTAAGGGAAAATACCCACAGTAGCACCTTTTTCGAATCCGTTTGGGACGTGATCACTACCAGATATATCCAGCATGGGCCGTAATCAAAGTCAGATACATTCTGTAAATCCCCGGTGTGAACATGCTCCGAGTGTTGCATGATCTGTAACTCTCGGCTGTTTGTATCCTCCTCTTGTTGTTGCCCAATGACATGCTGACACATGGCACAACCTCATGAACTGAGTTCACAAGACTTCCTGCCAGGCTATCATGATCAATCTTTAGGTGCGAAGTTATGAACTACGTGTGTGACCGCAGAGACGATTCCGATGTGCTCTGCAATGAGTCTGCATACAACTTCCCGAACCTGTGGTATCACAGTGCGCTGAGTCTATTTCAAGCTTGAGGTAGACCCCTGGATTGCAATAGGATTTGATATACCCTGCAAAAGTTGTGTTTCCCTTTGTCCTCCAATGTTGACGAGTAAAAAGTTGTGTCTGCTCTTATCAGCATCACTAACACTGGCAGGGGCGTGTTTTTTKTGTTAAAAAAAAAAAAAAGAAAAAAAAAAAGTTACGTTTCCCTCAGATCCATGTCCAACGTTTACGAGTAAACTTTTTGCACAGTCTTTTGTACTTCTCTGCAATCCTGTAATTGTTTCTAGTTTTTTGTAATTAATTATTGATGAGTCCGACCAGGTATATAGTATATACCAGAAAGTTGCCAGGACAAGGACACACTAGAATTCTAGTGTGTACAGCAAGGATTCGTGCCAGTAGACCGTGAACATGCAACTTGAATCACAAGCACATTGTGATCCAATTGAACAGCATTGCATCGGTGACAAAGCAAATGAGTAGAACCGACAGAGCATTGACAAGTTGACACCATTGACCGCAACGAACATAAAATATTTGACGATGTTGAAGTCGTTTGATGGAAAAACAACCACCAGCCAACTGGTCTTGTTCTCAATCCAACAGCCATCAACAACAACAATAATGAGGAGCACAAAAAGTGCTGGTCTTGTTCTCAATCCACCAGCCAATCAACCACTTGCCCTGCTACTAGCCTACTCCATCGATTCCCCCATCATCATCAATGCCAGGAAGCCCAATCTGCGCCTTCCAATGATCAATCAAAGAATGCCCGCCGCTCGCGCTCCCATGCTGAAAACCAACCATGGTACGTCTACTTACCCTCCTCCCTACGGCTCTCCAGGTCTCCTAAAGAGCTTCCCTTCTGGTGCCAATCTCTCTCTCTCTCTCTCTCTCTCTCTCTCTCTCTCTCTCTCTCTCTCTCTCTCTCTCTCTCTCGTCTATCACTGGCCGGTCCTGCTTCCCTTGGCACTGGTCCAGCAGCCTTACGGCTGACAGCCAGACAGGCTGAATGCCGATGGCTCTCCTGGACTCCTAGAAGTACACGTGCGTGTTTTATATTTGTTAAACACAACTCCACAAACAAAAGGTGACTGTGAGAAACTATTTCGTTTGACTTTCATCTGTGTGTGTGTGTGTGTGTGCGCACACGTGTGTATGCTCTTCTACTCCTGGGACCAACACACTTGAACAAAACATGAAGCGAATGTCTCAATCGTGCTTTCAGTTGATTGTACTCCTTGCGTCCACTTACCATTTCTCCAATCAGTATATATTCCCGAACAGAAGGTGTCTGTCGCATCCTCGCAGTCCAATCCACACCCATTGGCTGCAGCAAACCAACAACACACGAAGAACGGATCACGCAGCATTCTTCTTAATCAATGGTCCCTGACACTCAACGGCCATAACTTTTTCCGTGAGCATTCATATTGCAGTCGTAAAACAATCATTCCATAAAACTCCCACTCCATTCCATGACTCTAAGGACATACTCATGCTAGGACTTACCCTGCACAGACAGACATGCGCAGGCCATCCACCTGGGCTTCCCTAGGGACAGCTACATTCTAGTGTCCCGTTGGGCACGATATGCTCTCTCTCTCTCTCTCTCTCTCTCTCTCTCTCTCTCTCTCTCTCTCTCTCTCTCTCTCTCTCTCTCTCTCTCTCTCTCTCTCTCTCTCGCTTGCTATGGCACCCAGCGCGGTCAACCGTCTGTTCTCCACACGCGGTTAACCACCAGGGGTGTTTTTTTTCCGCCAAATTTTGCACTGAAACTGTCATATTGCCCTCATTTGAATGAAAAAGTCGGCATTTCGTTGGATTCGTTGAACGCTTCATTTTTAACTCAGAAAGTGTTTTTGTGTTATTAGGGTTTTATAGTGTTTTCTTTTGTTTTGTTTTGTTTGTTCGTTTTCTTTGGCCTGTTTTTTTTTTATGTTTGATGTTCGCAACTATGCACCGAAACTGTCGGCGAAACCGGCGAATTTTCGGCCCTCCGTTGACTGCGTGTCCTCTCCTCTCAGGTCCCACTCGTGTTCTGACTGCACAGGACCGCGGCAGCACTTCCGCAATGTGCACGGAGGAAATTGTGTTGACACTTTACTTGTTCCAGCCTTATGAACTTGCCGCAGTCGCACAATTTGGATCTTTCCAGACCGGTACCCATGTGCCCAATTTGGATCTTTCCAGACCGGTACCATGTGCTTGTCAGCCGCGGTCTGCTTCTGATACGTCTGGACTCTGGAGTTTTCATGGACGTTTTTTGGGAGTGAGTCTCAGTGAGATGCATGCCGGCCCCTGACAATCTGACCACTACAGAAGTCCCATAACGAGCTAAGTCTAGTAGGCGTCTCGGACTCTAGGATGCACCAGCCTGCTTGACGAGTCTACAGGGCCGACCGGGCTGTTCCTACCGACGGGAACTATGGTACGTGGGACTTCTGGAACTGGGAACCGGGACTGGGACTGAGGGAGGCGTGAAATCCTTTCGTGTATCTCTTTGGACTCTTACCTGCCAAGAGCAAATCACAATATCAGGGCATCGAGAAACGATGGCTTGTTCTGCATCTTCCACATGGCACGGATTCTTCGCATCAGGGCCCGCAAACCTTTCGTTGCTGTCCGTTGCAACGATATCCACAACAACACCTTCATCCTGCCGGTCAAAAACAGAGGAGAAAATGCAAAACACCATCCGAATGTCACAAATTAATAAATTATAGTACATAGTATTTACTTTTTCATGCCCCCGGCTGCTGCATGGTTTCGCAAATTTCGAACATAGTGCGGCGCTGTACCATCACTTTTCTTTTGCTATTCTTTTCGCAACTCGCCAGCACAATGTTACATACACATCATTGTTATGAACCATGTACCTTGCAGCAATCCAGAAGGTCACCCGCCCATACGCGTACCTGCCAAAAACAACTCAAACCACTCACCAGCAGGCGATCAACAAAAGCAATACGACATTGTGTGATGTGATGCACACCAAGCAGAATAGGTATAGAAAGAGCATAGCTAACACCACCACTTCTCCTTCTCCCTCAATGCCTTCTAATCAATTGTTATCACAGTTTGAAAGTGTACACGCTTCACACGATCACATCCAAAAATCAACGGCAAAGAAAACACCTCGAAGAATATTAGTGTCCAGGTACCTCTCTTCTCTTTCCTTCTTCACGCGCCTCCAGTCATATGACTAATTTCCCAGTGTCAGGTGCCAACTGATTTCCTTTGGGGGAAACTAAGTGGGAGTCACAAAATTGAGTTGTAGTTGCAGCACGAGCCAAGATGCAGTTTGCAATTGCAGTTCGGGCAATGTATACAACACAGCTTTCTGGCCAGGTAGGGTGCCCCAAGTGCAATTGCAAACTGTATCTTGCCCCATTGTGCAATTACAAGTCGTTTTTGTGACTCCCGCATAGTTGCCCACTTCCTTTGCCCCTAATGGGCTAGCTCAACTCCCACTACCATAGCCTAGTAATCGCAGCTTCAGCGGAGTGCAAGTGGTGCATGAGTCTCTCCCAGCAATCAAGGGAGTCAAATACTGCTTCCTTTGGTCAGCGTTCAGGCAGCCTAGCGGCATCCACTGATCTGTCCTTCGACTACACAGACTGGGCTTACATTGTTGACAGCCGGACAGTCAGCTGACCTCTGGGCCCCCTGGGCCGGTACCACTGTATCTTTCCACCTTCCAGGCAGGGTACAGAAGTGCCGGACAGGTCTGGTACCCTGTGTTGTTTTTAGGCCTACAGGGAGTCGGGCCTTTTGGCCAAAAAAAAATTGACAAAAATGTTTCCCAACATGTCCAGGTAGCAGAAATTGCAGAAATATCCATGGGGTAAATTCAAAATTGCGAAAAAGTGTAAGGAGTCTAAGAGGACAAAGTTGTACAAATTATTTTGCAAAGTAACAGCAACAAGATTGAAAGTACACAGAGTGACAGAGGGCCTTTTTGCAGAATTTACCACAATGGCACAACTCGCTGGCTACTGCAAAAACCCTCGGTTCTTGCATTATAGAGTCTTCAGACTCTTCACCTTTTTTTTTTCCTTTTTTTTTTTTCTTTTTAAAGAAGAGTCTTCACCTTCTTATTGCATCAGCTGCACGGTTTGCACATACCTCAAGCCCCTACGGTCTTTTTTCTCCCCCCTCCCCCCCCCCCTCTTTCTTTAAGCCCCTCTGTTGAAGTTTGCTGACCTGACTTGATATGCCTCTCAAGCGATTGATGGACTTGTTCAAGTGGAAGCAGAGCAATCCATCTCCAGCTCCAACCTGTGCACATAAGCCGCCAGCCAATCAGATGAAAGTTGCTCATAAGCTTAAACCATAAGGTACTTCCGGGGCACTTTTCTCCGGGGTTGGAGATGCGTTGCACACCCAAAAAAAAAAAAAAAAAAAAGGCGCAGGCCTCCTTTGGCTGGCGCCGCCAGCCATTTTGGTCCGGCGGGCAAGCCCCGAAAGTCGCAGCACGTTAACGCCCCGGACCAAAAAGAAATATTTGGGCTGGGCCAAGAACTGGTGGTTTAATCCAGAAGAATAATCAAACTTATCAAACACCTTCCTCGGGAACTCACATCATATGTCCATGTCCACGTGCATCCGGTAGCCTTGATGAGTTGTGCTAAGAGTCCAACATGATGACAGGAGGTTTTTCATCGTATGCATTTGAAGAATCGACATTATGGCATGATTATGCCCTTTTGGGAGGTTCTCGGGAGTCAAATAGGAATCCGTTTAGCTCTATAGGGGTCTGTAATGAACCTGACTCCAGAAGCTCAAATCATCCTCACGAATGAACACACATTGTTCAAATGAATGACAACTCAAATGAGAAGAGAGCATTGGCATCAAATGACGAGACAATGCGAAGAAGAAGAGCAAGATCTCCAGAATAGATTTCACGTTGCTTCTCCCTCTTCTTAGTCCAGTTACTCCACCTCCTTACTACACCACCTCACCATCTCATCATCTCATCTATCCACTGGCAACATCTCTCTCTCTCTCTCTCTCTCTCTCTCTCTCTCTCTCTCTCTCTCTCTCTCTCTCTCTCTCTCTC